CATTCCACCAGCTCCTCCTCTCCCCACCCAACAACAGCAGACCAGCAGGCAGCACAGCAGCACAGTCCCTCAACTGCCGATGGCGAAATGCAGCAAGATCCGCAACATCGTCTGGCTCAGGCAGACGCTTCGGCGGTGGCGGTCCCGCGCCGCGGCGCGCACGGCGGCTGGCGGAGGCGCCGGCGCCGTGTCGGTGCCGGCGGGGCACGTGGCGGTGTGCGTGGGCGGCTCGTCCCGGCGGTTCGTGGTGCGCGCGGCGCACCTGAACCACCCCGTCTTCCGGGAGCTGCTCAGGCAGGCGGAGGAGGAGTACGGGTTCCCCTCCGGCGCCTCCGGCGCGTGCGGCCCCATCGCGCTCCCCTGCGACGAGGGCCTCTTCGAGCACGTCCTCCGCCACCTCTCCTCCTCATCGTCCGCCGCGCGGTTCTTCACCCTCGAGGACATCAAGAGCGGCGCCTACTCGTGCTGCTGCGCGGCCGCCGGCGACGCGCTCCCGCTCCTCCGCGGCATCTCGTCCGACAAGTTCGTCTGGTGACTCCAATCCGAGCTAGGCCAGCCGGCTAGCCGCGCGCGCTCCACGTCATTGTGCTGGTGGTGGCCGTCGTGTTTTTTGTTTCTTTTTCGTTTTCCTCTCCCTCCCTCCATTGTCGCCGGGCGGAGCAGAGCCGCCGGGACGGAGCGAGAGGTCGTGAGCGGCCGGCAGGAGGCGGCGAAGTGAGATGGCTGAGAAACCTCCGGGTCTTGAGACGCCCGGGGTCTAGCCATCCATTCACTCCCTTGTCAAATCCGGGCAGGAAAATTACTTAGTAGTGCCGGGATTTATTCTTTCTTCTTCTTCTTCTTCTTGATTATTTTTCTTCACTTACTGAATAATTCACCCTGTAAATAGCTAGCCCGTGCTCCGGCGATTCGGCCGACATTGCAAGTGAATTGAAGTGAAACATTTCTACTACTACCTAGTTCTTTGAACTACTCCTAGTCAGTAGTACTAACCGTTGTGTGATGTTGAGATTTCAAAATTTTCTTGGTTTCTGCAGAGAGTCGTACGCACCGCTCTCTGAGAAAACTGTATTCTACTCAGAAGTGCAGATGGGTACTGGTCTACCTTTCTGAGCTGCATGTGGTAGGGCAAGCTTGAAGAAGATTTGAACTTGCATGATTTAATTAGTGGGGGTTGGAGCTTAAGTACAAGCTTTACGGGTAGTAGAATATGTGTGCTCACGCTGTCGCTAGGCTGGTCGCAATGATCATCGAACAATCATCTGCCACCCGCTACCAGCTCGAATAATTTTCCATTATCGGCAATAATTCGTCCTGCAACTGCAACAATCAACATAAGTAGTAGCATTTCCCGAGTCGCAACCGCTAACTAATAGCGATATTGCGCGGTGCGGTCAACTATTTTTTGGTTTCATTCCTGCCCAAGATTAGAAGTGAGAGCTACTATCCCAGCCTCTCTCTTTCTGGAGAGATCACCGTCATGCTCTCCCAAAAGTGTCCGGTCACCGTGCGCCGGCGGCGGTTTGTATGGAATCCTGACGAGCGTAACGTCGGCCTTTGTACAAAGCGCCGACCACGGCGCAGCCACTTTCTGGGGTGGCAATGGATGACATTTTTAGGGGTTAAACATCTTTCTATCTTCTCCCTCCCTGGCCGGAGATTGGATGAGGATAGCAGCAGCCTGGAAAGAAGCACCACCAAGCAATCATGGGAGGGCAGTGGCCCCTGCTAATCCAATTATCCAGAGGAATTAACGTCGTAATAAAGCCTCAATGTCCTCTCTGTGTACAGAGAGAGTCCCAGGTGACCCTCCCAAGTTCTTTCTCTCTCTAGCAGGTGCGCTGCCCCTTTTTACTGTGGGCCGGTCTGCCGCTGGTGAGAACAGGGACAGACAGACCCAGGCGCATGTGGGCGGCGGGCCCGGACCCATGTGTGATGATACTTGATGCCCGGCCCACCACCGGCGGTCGCCCGCCTCCGTCCCGTCCGGGTCCGGCCGTCCGTGGTCCTTTGCCGCCGGCCCCGTCCGTTTGTTGCTTCTAGTAGCTTTCCCTTTCGCCGTACGGAGGTTACGAACTGGGGAGGGAGGGAGGCGGCCGGCGTGTGCGGTTCACGGGCCAGGTTTCGCTGACGGCGACCGGTTCTACTTTTGCTTGTGGGAGTACGTACGTACGTACGTGCATGCTGGTTTATGACGGTTGCGAATGGCCGCCTCTCGCGTGAGCTCCTGACCTCCTGTACGTGGTGGCAGGCCCGGCCGTGCATACGTGACGGCCGATGAGTGGATGATGGTGTATGCCGTGCTGAGCACCAAGGGCCCGCATGCATGTCCCAGTCACGGAGCGTATTTGAGAAAGGAATTCAACACAGCAGAACCCAAAACCTGAAACAATGGTTTTCTGATGACCCTATGCAACGGCTTGAAGAGATTGCGCAACAAAACCATCACGTACAGGGCAACAAAATTAGGGCCTCGGCACACGATCTAGCAGCAAATCAGCAATATGATCGCGACCACCAAACATACGTGAACGCGCCGAAGCGGCATGCTAGCTACCATAGCATCCAACATGTGGAGTAACAGTTAGTAGAATGAGTTTATAAGATGGTGACAATGTGACGGAACTCCTCCCTGCCAAGGTGTTTTTCGGCGAACTTCCTGGCGCTGCTCACGTCTTCCCGGGCACGCTTCGTAGCCTCGCTGGCGTCTCTCACCGAATGGAAACCACGTCGTTCGCACTTCATCCTCACCACTGGATCGACAACCATGCGCTCGAGCGCAGTGGCGTTCCCAAGAATGTAGAGCGCCAACTCGCCTAACCCCAACACGGCCTGAAACCCAGAAATGTAGACGCTCCTGAGATGGGCGTGCATAGGACCTCCCATGGCCGTCACTGTCCCGGGCCAACCAGCCACACACATCCTGTCGTCCAACTGCGTGCATGCATTCATACCCTCAGTTATTTTTTCACATCTACATCAAACATGTGATCGAAAGTGTTACGATCAATGGCTGAATCTAATCACTTACGTGCAGCTCCAGTTCTTCTAGGCGAGGTGCTAATTCCAGGACGTGAACCAACCCAGCAAACCAACTGCTCACGTTTCTACTGCCTTTGATTTTAAGGTTCAAATTCACATGCCTCAGGTTGACGAAGCCGGTACCTGACTTGGTAAAACTTTGCTAATGAAACACAAACAATGCACATCCACGAAGAAAATGAACATTTTGTGATGTGGGCATCAATGTAAAATTTGATATGAACTAATATCATGTTACATTGAAACGAAAGAGTAACAAGACACTTACCTTGGTTGCCCTAACACTCATGTGTAAGAGTAGTTTGTGCGCATGAGGAACAACAGTTGGAAGCTCAGCAAGTACGTAACCAAGAGGATCAGGACCATTATGATGCTCAAGAAATGCCTCGTTTCGACTGAGGAAAACTGGTCTTCTCTTTTTCAGCGTAAAGGTTGCCTCTGTCAACTTCAAAGAATCTCCCAGCACAATTTTCGTCGTGGTATTGTCCCCAAACTCAAACTTCACAATATTCGGGGCATGCAAATCTATGATTTTAAGGTTAGTGTCGTGGATTTGTCACGGCAGATGTCCTTGTGAAAGGACTTAGTCGTGGAGTCATCGCTACGGGTTAACTTGAAGGGGTTAAAACGGACACAAAGACACAAGGGTTTATACTAGTTCGGCCCCTTCGATGAAGGTAAAAGCCTACGTCTAGTTGTGATGGAATTGATGTGGTTTCGATGGCTAGGGAGCAAACAAGCTTCGCCTAGGCTCGAGTTGTTGTTGTCTGTCCTTGAACCGCCGCCGGGTCGTCCCCTTATATACACGGGTGACGCCCGTCGGTCCACAGAGTCCCACACCGGTTCATACTCGTATCTCGGTTGGTCTCTCTCTATTCCTAACTTACAATGCAAGTTTACATATCAAGCCGGTTTACGGCTACATGGTTCTAAACCGACTACAGGCCTTGGGCCTTCATCTGCTTAATCACCTTTAAACTACAAATGAAGCTAACCCGGCCCAGGTAGGCCGGTTCACGCCCAGTGGTAATATCCCCAACATTAGGCCCCAGATTGATTTGAACTGGTTCATGTCAATCCTTCACAAAAATCTTTGTCTTCAACATCTTCTGGTAATTGGTAAACCGCCATGTCGTCATCATCTCTGGTTGCTGTAAACCGGCATGACATCATCACGGAGTTTAACATTTATGACGCCTTCTTTCATTGATAGATCTGCGATACCCAAGGCAGCAGCTCCACTTTCGAATTTTGTGGCTCCTGGATTCACGCGCCTGACACACGTCCTTTGCCTTATAAATAGGACCGAAGGGTCATTTCCTTTTCTCCCCTTCGTCTCTTTCTCTTCGTCTTCCTTGCGTCGCCAGCCCCGGAGCTCCGCCACCGCCATTGACCTCTGCACCGTCTTGGGCCGCTGCATCAACCTGAACGCTCCAGAACACTGCGGTAGCTTTCCGCGTCTTCCTCGATTCTGGTAAGCCTTCTGCTCTTCTTAACATAGATCTGTTCTAGGGTTTTGTGTTCTTGCCGTGTTCCTCACTTGTTCATGCTCGTACCCAGACTCCTGGACAGATCTGTGAAACCCTGCTCTGATTAGCAGTAGCCTTTTAGCATCCACCTGTAGTTTCACGCTCAAGTCCATAGATCTCATCTACATACCTGCCCATTGATTCACTTCCGTTCCGCTTTAATCTTTTGAATATTTTCTGTTTTTCTGAACTTGCTTCAGATCCATTACTACAATAGGACCTTGTGAAACCTGTTTCTGCATACTTAGCCATCCGCAACCTCAATTGCTTTCAATGTTTAGATCAGGCGGTTTAACTTAATATAGGAAAAATTATTAAACCGGTATATACCATTAGTCCCCTTGTTGAACCGCCAGACTTCTTCAGTCTTATTATGCTACCTCATAAAAATCCGGTTTAAATGTACTGCCTCCGGTTTAACATTGTTCATACCAGCGCATTCTTGAACCGGAATCACTTATTTCTTGTAGATCTCATCATGGCCAAACAAGTATATGAGTGCAACTGGGTTCCTTCTCGCGTCACAGAAACTCAGCTGGATGATTTAGTTTCGATTGGCGCTTTAGACAGCAAAGACACTATCCACTGGAGGGTTCCTGGTGATGAATGTCCTCCCACACCTCAAGAGGGAGAGGTTGTGATTTTTGCGGACCATTTAGCCCGGGGCTTCAAACCGCCCGGCTCTAAATTTTACCGGGATGTGTTAGCCAATTTTCAACTCCGCCCACAAGATATTGGCCCCAATTCTGTTACCAACTTATGTCACTTCCAAGTGCTCTGTGAGGTATACCTTCAAGAGAAACCCACAGTTGAATTGTTCAGAGACCGCCTCCACTTAAACCGCCGCACAGAATTTACTGATGGTCCCAATACCGAATTGGGCGGTATGGCAATTCAGAAAAGGAAAGAAATCACTTATCCCCATGCCAGACTACACAGTCACCCCAAGGAGTGGAATGCAACA